CATTTTACAAGATAATTAACTAACATATAATTACAATTACGCTATGACAATTAATATACACTTTAAACTTATCCAAACACTAAAATACTGATTTACAAGATTGCCGTGCGGGAGTCCATCTCGTATAGAGAACAGATTGTCAATTGCTCTTTTGAATTGACTTAGGGAGCATGTTGTTCATACATTTTGTGGTAATTCGTTGCATAAAACTGCCCCGCTATAACTGAAACTTCGCTTACCGTAGTTCGTTCTTGGTTTAGGTACAAATAAGGTGTGTTCAGAGTTTCACAAGTTAGATCCTGTGCTGCAAGATTCAAACAATTCATGGAGATAAAACGGAGTTAGATCGTTAATTGTTTTAAATATTAGTATAGCCTTATGCTTTCTCCGACGTGTTAAAAGATTATCCCAGCCCAGCTTACTAAAAAGGTATCTGGAACCAGCATCATATTGAGATTTAGTGATGACCCTCGCTGCCCTATTTTGCAATTTTTGCAATTTGTCATTTAACTTGATATTCAAACCATCCCAAACTGAGCTACAATAATCAAAGTGCGGTTGAATTAATGCTCCATAAATTTTCAGAGCAGTATTTGTATCTATAAATTGGCGTATCCGTTTAAGAGCTCCAATAGCTGATGCAATCTTTTTGGAAATATTTTCGACATGTCGTGCCCATGTAAGATGCTCATCGATTTGCAAACCTAAGGATTTCGTTTCGTTGACTCTCTTAATTGTCTTTCCGTCGATTTATATCCTTATGTGTTCGTTATCATGTACTAGTAATATTTGACGAGATCTTATTATCATGAATTCCGTTTTGGCTACGCTAAGACTCAGTCTATTAGCTAGTAGCCATTGATGAAGATTTTTCAATTCAGAGTTTATTATTTGCTCAAGCTCCGTGACGGAATTTGCTGCGATGCTAATATTAGTGTCGTCAGCAAACATTCTTGGAGAGGCTCTGTCGCGACAATTAGGCAAATCATTTATGTATATTAAGAACAATAGAGGTCCCAGGTTACTGCCTTGTGGTGCCCCACAGGTTATTTTAGCAGTTTCAGATAACTCACCATTGACGCAACATCTTTGACTGCGGTTGCTTAGGTATGATTCGAAGAATTTGATACCATTTTCATCAACGCCATAAATTCGTAACTTCCGTAAAAGAATTGTGTGATCAATAGTATCAAATGCTTTTTTAAGCATAGGCGTACGGGCACATCATTCTTTTTTTTTGGGGGGGGGGGGCTGGGCTGAATTTGCCCGAATGACATGACGTCATAGATTTTGTGACGTCATCATAAAATTATATAATCTAAGATGACTACAAATGAAAGGCTTTCTTCCTTTGAAGATTGATTTAAAAAAAATATGTCGTCCCTAGCCATTTCAATTATAAGCTAAATATATGGCATTACTATTCACAAAGAAAGAGAAAGTTACTAATGTAACAACATTTTTTGGTATAAAATGGGTAATTAGACAAGTACTGGTGCAAGACATTGTGTAGCTTAAATAATGAGAGAACCAGTATTCCAAAAATTGCTGTTCTTAATTTCTTAACTCCGACTCCTGTGATGAACATGTACGTAAAAACCTAGGGAAATTACGATTATATAGAAACTAAAAAAGGTGGAAATTTTATGGGACACGATAAAAGGCGAGGATAAGGTGAAGAGATTAAAGTTGAGGAGGAAGGCAACCCTGTCCGCGTTTCGAATTAAAGATGGTGTAACATTTTCACTGTCCATCGCCGTATTCTGTTCACTATTATTTTCTCTGAGCTGTGACAGTGAAATTAATTCATCAACATCAATGAACGTTGTCATTGGTTCCGTTCGGTCTTCGCTCATGGGTTCCTTCACATTTTTCTGAGATAGGTCTTCATCAAAAGACACCGTGACTGCAGAATCTTTACTACCACTCGATTCAGTTCCAAGTAGGGTTAGGTCATACTGCAGGTCATCGTTCTTGGTTGTCATGTTACTTTTTACAAAGAAAGTATTGATTTTCAACTGGGATGGATCCGATGATTCCATCACTGGATGACATTTTACTTTTTTACCATTGTGAACCAATCGAGAATGCACCTCTTTATAATCACTGTCGATTGACTCGATTTCCTTATTGCATTCCTCGCACCAAACGCGATGTTGGTACTGTCTTTTACTGTCTTTCAATGTAATCTTCTAGGCGATTGTTTCCATAGCGATCGTGGAGTTAATGGTCGTAAAATCATTAATGATTGTAAAAAAATCGCGCACTTTTATGTCTATCTAAAAGTCTAAAATTAGTCACATTAGGTCATTGTACAGTATTTGTACGGTTACGTCAATGTCAATTATAATGTGCATGTATCTATTTTCAGTGACTGGTGTGTCATAGCCGCGGTGCCGCCCAGGGCCAGAGACTGTATTTACGCAACCAATGCTATCAAGGGAGATAAACATTACTGATCCGATTGTTACTACGCACACTTATACCACACCTTCGCAATATGTGCAGCTATATACTATATACTTATATAGTTTAATAGTTGTATAGCCTACATTATGCTAGGTAAACTGCTGAATATAGGCATGAATACAGTAGCCTAGTGACATTTTATTAGTAGCCATAGCAATTGTTCCTTCGTTCTAGCCGTTTCTGTGGGGATTTTATACGTCTGTGGTATGTGCGTAAAAATCAAAACCAAATCCGATTAAGTTAGAACACTTGACCTTTTATAATAAATGTTAACCTGACGCAACATGCTTGAATCCAGCTATGCGGTCTATGGTAGTAATAAATATACACAAACGTTGCCATTACAGATTTACAGTGCATGATTGAACCTGTAAAAGTTGAACTTGTTGAAATAATACTTCTGTTCCGCTTTATGGATCAATATATTCGTCTAATCACCAGACCGTCGTTGCTCGAATGACAAGACAATTTTTGCCCGAATAGCATAAATTCTCAAAAAATTGGGGGGGGGCTGCAGCCCCCCAGCCCCACCCTCCCGTACGCCTATGTTTTTAAGATCGATAAAAATTACTCCGTTAAGAGCGCCTTTATCTATATTTATTGACCAATTATCCGTGGCTTCAATTAGGGCAGTTAGTGTACTGTGCAATGATCGAAATCCAGATTGAGACACAGATATTAGATTGTTGTTGTTCAGATACTCATACAACTGTTCGAAAGTAAACTTTTCAAAAATCTTTGCTACTACAGAAATAACAGATATTGGTCGATAGTTGTTCATGTCGTCTTTTTTACCTTTCTTAAAAATTGGAGTAACTCTCGCTAGCTTTCAGTCTGTAGGAAAGATGCTTGTACTTATAGTCTTATTAAATATTTGAGTTAACGATGGGGCAACTATTTCAGCTGAAATTCTTAAAAGTTTGCAAGGTATTTTATCAAGACCAGCTGCTTTCCTTTCGTTAATTGCTTTTAGTTTTTTGTAAACTGCATATACAGTGAGTGATTTCATTGAAAATGTGGTTTCAGCAGGCACAACATATACGTCAGGTTCTACGGTAGAGGGTTTTATATCGGACGCTAAATTTTCACCCACACTAGCAAATTGAGAATTAAATGTCTCCGCTATTTGCTTGGGTGTATATATAGTTTCTTCACCCACTTTGATATTGGATATCATTTTGTGGCTAGAGGCATTACGAGAGTTTAATTCGTTAATAAGTTTCCAGGTTAATTTTGGATTTTTCTTATTAGCCTCAAGGTTAACCTTAAAATATTGACTTTTTGCACTTTTAATTTCATTATTCGTGCTATTTCGATTCGTGAATGTTTATATTGTTGCCAAATTAATGGATTACCGGTCTGGTTAGCTTTCTTTTTCAGAAAATCTCTCTCACGCATTTTTTGCTTTAATTGGCTGGTGATCCAGGGAGATTTCTTTTTCCCAACTCTTTTTGATCTGAGTGGTGCATGCTTATCAATACAATTAATTAACATGTTCTTCCATTTCACCCAAAATTCGTCAGGATCATTGCTTAGGTTTACGTCTGCCCATGCTTCTTGTTCTAAATCTCTTAAATAATTTTCTGTGTTAAAATTATATGAACTAGTCGCGAGCATGTGTGTTTGTAGTGGACTTTGTGTGTCATATTGACTAAAACATGGTCACTTATAGAAAGTTTTATTATCCCTGAATTTACGATCTTTGATGGAGCGTTTGTAATACAAAGATCAATAAGGGTAGAAGAATATGGTGTAGTTCTGGTAGGATCTACAATAAGTTGTTTTAAGCCAAAACTTTCGAACATATCATTCAATATATTTCCATTGACTGATGTTACATCCGGCATAAGATCCACGTTTATGTCGCCTAGGAGGAAATAGTCATGATTTGTCGCATCAACTTTCTCTACTATTTTCTCAAAATAATCAAAGTGGCACACTGGTGAGTCTGGGGGCCTATACCAGGTACTAATTAATAGTGATCTAGTTCAAGGTTTAGTAATTTCTACAGTCAGATACTCTAATTCATCAGAGCTTAAATCTTTACAAATTTTGTAGTTAAGATTGCATCTTATATAGATACCAACACCACCCCTATGTCGTCAATTTATTTTTCTCTCCTTTCTTACTATTTCATAACCAGGTATATAAACCTCATTATCCTTAATTGAAGAATCAAGTTTTGTTTCATTGATTGAAATAATATCAATATCAGATTCATTCATAAAAACTCGAAATTCATCAATATGCGCTAAAAGACTATTAATATTTAGAGAGGCCATCACTAAACCTTTACCAAACGGTTTATAATTAATATCAAAACACTTACGGCTTATATTCGTCAGCACAGGTTCAGACTCCCGCCCGGCATTTTCTTTATCGTTAAAATGAATCATTCCTGATGAGTCTAATTTGTTGGATGGCGATTCAAACGAGAAATTAGTTTCAAAAGTTCCTCGAGCTGGTTTATGGTTCCCATTTGAAAATCCCGTCTGGGGCGGTTACGCAGTTGGCTTGATGGTTTTCCTCCTTTAATGAAGTTGAAGAAATAGGTTGAATATTGCTGTACCCTTTGAATTCAAGTGCAGCTTACTGGAGTTTAGAGAGGTTTCGTCCAAAGATGAGTTGTCAATAAATTTAACACTATGCTTTAGTGAGATGGCCTTGATCTTCTCGTTGACCTCATTAACCTTTGATGTCGAGTCGATTTCTTGTCTTGTTGTGATACCAGATATACCAATTTTTGAATTAGGAAATTTCTCCTTCAATCCAACAATAAGTTTTTCAATGTCGTTTATACATTCGTCCACGGATTGCGAAGGGATGTTGTTTGTTCCCGCATGAAATACTACGTGGGAAGGCGTTAGGTTTGATTCGATTGTATTAATCGAGTTTATTGTTTATTTCTGAGGCTGTTTTACCAGGATAAGTAAATTTATGCACCTTTTTCTTAGACAATTTTGTTGGAATAATGTGTTTTACAATGGAATCACCGATGATGACTATGCTTTGTTTTGCTTCCTGTGATTTTTCTTTGTTTTGGTTCCTACGATCTGTTATGTGTCCAGTTAAGGTTCCGCCGTTATTACTCCCAGTTGAGGTATTATTGTGATGTCTTCGGTTGGTTGATGATCAGGATCGGATTGTTGACTAATGTCAAGGTTAATTACACTTGGCTGTTCCCCCATTTTCTTCGCCCACCTCGTCGTCTAAGGTGTCAAAATTATTGTGGAAGTTCAACGTAGCAGACGCTTGATTGTCTTTGTTCTTCGGGGCCGACGTTGTTTTCCATTCTGCAATGCGTTTTTGAGTGGTGGTTCGATTTTGTTCGATATCCTGTTGCTGTAATTTAGGTGCTGTTATTAAACTGTCTCTTTCATGTTCAAGATCTTTTACTTTAGTTTTCAGATCTGATGTAGTAAGACTAAGGTTCAGCATTTTCTTACGCAACTCAGAGTTCTCTTTCACGAGACTTAGTTTGTTGTTCCTTAGCTCATCAACGACGTTCTCTGAAGTAAGCAACGGATCAACTTTAAATTTTAATTGATTCACCTCAGTTCTAAGGCTTTCCATTTTCTGGTTCATGTTTTCAGTGGTTCCGTTTTCTGGTTCATGTTTCCAACATTTGCTGTTTGAAATCATGGAAGCCTTGCCATTTAACACGGCATCGTTAACCAGATTCTCGGGCTTTTCTTTACACATGGTCGATAGTAACTTACATAGATCGTTTGTTTCTATTGAATCTCCAAACAGGGTAATCGATTTCGTGGTTTTACTATACCATTTCAAACTCACATTGGCTGTATCACTAGTGAACAGCTTCACTTCACCACCAGGCGACGTTCATCCGCCAGAATGTTTCAATTCATTTGACACGAATTCTTTTAAATCGTTTAATGTACCGCCCCAATAAAGCTTTTCTCCTATGACTTTTATATTTGTGCGCAGATTTACTGCCATGCTTAGTAAATTAAAGTAGATATAAGTGCCCTGTTCTATAGTATAAAATTAGCGGAGCACGGAGTACAGTCAGTACACGTCTGCACACTTGAAAGATCTAGCCTCATCAATGCATGCTAGTAGGCTCAAGACAGAGACTACAACAATCTTCAAGTAATCTTCAAATAGTTATATAACCATATTATACAGCAAGTCTCAAGTATAAAGAAAGTTCTTGGGGTCATTAATGATGAACAGTAAAAGTGGAAAGAACATAACAGTGCACAATGCAAAAACATTTCCCAGTCAATTGCTCTCTTGAAAAGAGAAAAGCAATTTGTAAGTCAAGATATACTTCTAAACATGTTTATTGCACTTGTCCTACCTCATTTCACATACTGTTCGAGTCTATGGAATGATGGTAGTTGTGTACATATTGAAAAACTACACAAATTGCATAAGCGAGCCGCTCGAGTGATAACGGATTCAAATTGTGAAATAAGATCAATAGGTATTGTAATTCATTGCGATTAAACCTCGGCCACGCCGGTCACCTGCTGGGCCAAATTATTTTGGAAACCTCTCAAAATCATTGGTTTTTCATGCGCGTGCATGAAGCTGTGGGCGCGTGCTACGTACTTTCCAAGCAAAGGAATTAATGCAATCGAAGAGATTCGCAAATTTTACGTACTTCGTCGAATAGAAACGCTATAATTTTGTTTATGAAGAAAAACCTTGCCGATCTGTATTCTTAAATTGTACTGTTATTTGATTTGAGATATTCAACGATTATTCCATGCAAGTGTTCTTTTTTGTTTATAAAATCCGTGTAAAAACCTTTGAAATTTAACTACAAGTTTGACTTTCGTAAAAACAACCGGTTTAAACCGTTCTTTTGGTTTTATGTTTTAGGCTATAGTTTCAGTAAATATAATGCTACATGTGATCAATTCAGTTGTATCACAGGACTATATAAAAGGGACTTTTCCGTGACAAGCTTTAGACGTCGCTTATAAAAACAAAAACAACTTCTCGAGGATGACTTCCGATCTGTATAAATAATTTTTTTTAAATCTGTTACAATTACAAATCCAAGTAGCTATCGACCAATATCAGTCTTAATTGTCAGTTTTTTCAAAAATACTGGAAAGAATTATTTATAATCAACTAGAATTATTTCTTGTTAAAAATGGTATACTCTTAGAATATCAATTTGGATTCAGAAAAGGTTATTCGACAGAACAAGCGATACTTGAAATTACAGATACCTTAAAAACTGCAATTGATAAAATAGAAATAACGTGCATGTGGACTATTCAGTGGCGCCGCCAGCTCGATAATTGGGGGGGAGGGATATTCGTATATTTGTGTTCACAGACCATAAAAACAATCTATTTCAAAAGAAGTTAATAATGCAGAACACAAAGATATGAATATTCCCCCCCCCCCGAGCTGGCGGCGCTACTCGAACTATTCTTGGATTTTTCGAAAGCCTTTGATACTGTCAGTTATCAATTTCTCTTATCTAAAGTTGACAAATATGGAATACGTGAGACCCAGTTGGATTGGTTTAAGAGTATTTAATGAATAGAAAACAGTATGTACGGATTGGTGTCATTAATAGGTCGTTAATTAATAGTGTTTTTGACATTAGTTGGTTTATATTCAATTTAGGACAATAGACAATTTAGGTTATTTAGATTTATTCAAATTTGCATGACATATAACATGTTGTTGTTGTAAAAGTTTTTTAGTTAGAAATACATTTATCGCAAAACAACACTCGGATTGTGAGTTTGTCTACAGGTTATGGGCACAGCACGCTTCCACTACGAGGCATGGGATCATTAGCCAACAAGTTGTACAAGTTGGATTGCGAAGACGTCTCAAACGGACACGCTACGTTAGCTTCACAGGAAAGTAGTGATCTTTGGCATCAACGGTTGGGACACGTACACGAGCAACGACTAAATAGCTGCTTGAGAATAATATTGTGAAAGGAATTTGTTGTGAAAACGTTGACAAACTTTCGTTCTGTGAAGCATGTTTGGCTGGAAAAATGCATCGAAAGCCATTTCTTGCTCGGGAAGAAATTCGTTCATCTCACAAGCTACAGCTAGTACATAGCGATGTGTGTGGTCCAATGCAAACAGAGTCATTTGGCGGAGCAAGATATTTCGTGACGTTCACTGATGATTACTCTCGATGTTGTGCAGTGTACTTTATGAAGCAGAAGTTAGAAGTTCTGGAGAAATTTAAAGAGTTTGAGGCTGCAGCAACGAACGAGGCTGGAAGATCGATAGGAATATTGCGAACTGATAATGGTGGCGAGTATCTTTCCACAGAATTTCAAGATTATCTCAAAGCGAAAGGTATTAAGCAAGAATTAACTGTTCCATATTCTCTTCAGCAAAATGGTGTCGCTGAACGTATGAATAGAACGTTGGTCGAGTCTGCTCGGTCGATGATCGCACAAGCAAGATTATCTAAGATGTACTGGGCTGAAGCCATTTCCACGGCTGTTTATGTGAGAAATCGAATGCCTACGATAGCAATCAAAGGGAATACAACGCCGTACGAGCGATGGTATGAAAGAAAACCGAACGTCAGTCATTTACGTGTGTTTGGGTGTATGGCCTTCCCCCATGTTCCAGACAGCAAACGACAAAAATTGGACAAGAAAGCGGAAAGACTACGCTTTGTTGGTTATTGTCGTACATCGAAAGGATACCGTTTGTTCGATGAAATCAAGCGAAAGATGGTCACCCGAAGGGATGTCGAGTTCAATGAAAACGATTTTGGCGACAAGGATGAAATGATGACGACAAAATCTCAAGATCAAACGACAGAAGACGTGAAAGAAGAAACGGTGGAATTCGAAGAAGAAAAAGTGGGAGAAGAAGTATCCACAGAACCAAGGACTTCTGGCAGAACACGGAAAGCCCCTGTCAGATATGGATACGACGAGTATGCAGAGACTGCTAGTCCTGTACATCCCGCACGTCATGGCGCTTACAATGCATGTGAGATAGAAGAACCCTCGTCCATGAGCGAAGCTAAAGAAAACCAACACTCGAAAGAATGGATGGCTGCTGCTGACTCAGAATACAATTCACTGATGGAAAACAAGACCTGGAGACTTGTACAGTTGCCACCTGGTCGAACAGCTATTGGTTGCAGATGGGTATTCAGAGCGAAGCACGATTCTGATGGAAGAGTAAATCGTTTCAAAGCGCGGCTAGTTGCCAAACGATATGCTCTTGGACTAGAACTTATTGTTTAACATTTAAAAATGTCAAAAAAGTGGGAGTGTCATTAATAGGTCGTTAATTAATAGTGTTTTTGACATTAGTTGGTTTATATTCAATTTAGGACAATAGACAATTTAGGTTATTTAGATTTATTCAAATTTGCATGATATATAACATGTTGTTGTTGTAAAAGTTTTTTAGTTAGAAATACATTTATTGCAAAACAACACTCGTATTGTGAGTTTGTCACCACAAAATAGGGTACTGCGCTTCTTGTAGCCTTAACTTTTCTATTGAAAAACATTTCGGCAGAAAATCACGACAACGCAAATACACACATACTGTGTAACAAAGGTGTATAGGTTGTGCTACACTAGTTGCATTGCTGGACTCAGAAGACAGTGTTATTATGTTGTTTATGAACCACCTTCACCTTTTAATTTCCAATGTTCCATGAGTAAAATCTTCTAGCATTAGAATTTAAAGTAAAATAACATATGGTGCATAAATATTAAAGGTATTTTGTGCTTTACTGGGTAAATATATGCAACTCTGTCTTATGTTGCTAATCTTACTCTGCATGGACAGTGTGGTTGGCATCAGCTGGTCAATTTCATTTGCCCTTAGGCTAGCTGCCTTTGAGATGAACTGCATGGTGAATAGCCCACACTCTGAATACTGAGAATATTGCCTTGTGGCGAGGAAACCAGTAAACTAACACACAACAAACACTGGGTTTAAAATTATATATTAAATATATAACTAGGTAAACACACATTTTAAATCAATAGAGACTATGTGTAAATTAATTTAATGAAGCTATCTTAATTGGAAATTGTTTGTTAAATAACACAATACCAACTGTACAATGATAAACATGTCATAATTTAATCATATGTCTTCTATCTGTCCCCTTTTGCCTGCCTTTCAACTAATATTAATACAGTACTCCTTTAAGAAAGGTTGCACAGTAGTATTGATTTAATTTTCCCTATATTATCTTGTCAAATATATCCATACACTTATCAATGGTAATCGTAATCCTCAGGGTGGCATGCTGGCTATCCAAAACATAATACTGGGATAATTAGCATTACAAATATATAATTTAATTAAAAATATTTTCCAAACTATCCCACTTTTGTGAGCAAATTTCATAATTATAACACCAGTTACAGTATATACAGTATTTATACCGTCCATCATTTTATCATTGACTCTAAGATTAATGGAGAATGTCATATGATATATACAGCTTATATCAAATTATATTTGAACAGACAAAGCTTATAAACACTCAACTATGGTAGGCGAGCAAACCCAGGTAATCATCACGCGGAAAAGGACTCGGGACCGATGCATTCACTGATGCAAAATGGATGCCAGTGATGCCAAATCGATCTAACTTGACGTAGGTGATGCATTTTGCTTCAACTGTGACGTCAGGATGCGGCAAAAAAACCATATTTTGTCGCGAAAATATTGACGCTTAAGCGTCGCAAAATAACAGAAAGTACACATTTGCGATCGCAATTCGATCGCAATTCGCAAAATTTGACAATTTCGACTGTTATTGAGACTATTTAAATTGGATTTCATCCTAAATAGTCTAAATAGTGTATTCCTGACATGGAGTCAATTTTAAGCAAACATTTGCGGGATGATAGGAGATATTTTATTACTGTGTGCTTTGACTATTGGCGAATTTAATATATATCTATATATTTCAAGCAACTTGAATCATGATTTCTCAATTTTGACCGATGCATTCGCAACGCTGGCATCGGTCTGGATCCGCGCTGCCTAACATACATATGTTGGGAAAATGATAATTAAAAGGGATAATTTTGTAATTACCTGTAATCGTTTTAGGCGATTTTTAATTCATAAGAATATTCTTAAAAAATTATCGTGTTACCATGACAACTACTTTAGATACGTACTTCATGTTCGGAAAATACAATGGTTTTGTCAGCAAGGCGAGAGTTTCTGCATGCATGTATTTTCTAGTTGCTGCCGAAGGCAGCCTCTTATTCTTGACGATATGTTATAGCGCATTTGAATTTCCCGCCAACAGTATTATAAACTTGAAGCGTATCTCGATTTTGTGTCGGCAGTTTGTGACGTCATATTATGACGTTGCGGTAAGGAATTTATATTGGAGCATTATCATGCCCCAGCAGTTCGCCATAGCAAATCGATGACTGCCGAATATTTTGTTTAGCGACTGCGAACGACCTACCAAGTATGGCGTTTAAAAATATTTCGATCATCAAGTTTTGTAGCCATTATAACACGAGTTAAGAAACGAAGCAAAGACATACTTTGTATAAATACTGCCCTTTCGAATTTTGTGAGAAAGGGAAATCGTTTAGAGGTATGTCAATATGCTCGATTTTTTCTTTTCTTCTAAGCTCAATTCACAGCGCGAATCATGTATATGTTATTATATATATTTTTTCATACACTATTAATGAGAAATGTCTGTGTGTACTAGCCTAAAACATAGTCTGTCATACATATTAAATATTAAAATGCACCCATGGCTATGAATGTTTAGGTCCACGGTTAAATTTAACTTTAAATATATTTCATTTATTAATGTAGCATATTCATCATGCAGAATATTATAAATATATTCCTATTATCTTATAGCAACCCAGTGTGGATTGTTGTCTGCCTATATTAACTTACCAGCAGCTACAAGGTATGATGGTTAGACTGCAAAAATATAAAGCTCTGAGATAAGTTAGCCCGCGTGCAGGCCCAAGGGAACTGATAGTGGGCCTGCAAGCAAGGCCCGGTATTTTGTAAAACGCCCCTTTTCATAACACGCCCCATTCGCGCGTCAATTGTCAAAAAAGAACCAATGACAGCAACCCAAATATTAACAAACAAACTCGCATTAAAATGTTGCGGGGTTTTCTCTGCTTTAATATTCAAAATAGAAACAATGTGTAAATGCCTGTGTTAAAATTCCAAAAAAGCAAGCAACGCAGTCAGTAATTGCCAAATTTACAAGTGCTCATTTTCAACTAAAATCGGAACAGGCAAATTAAGACGAATTTCAACAGAAAACCAGTCTCAAACTTCAAATCGTGAGGGAAGTCGTGCGACTACATCAGCATTTATAATGTTGCTTCGCTGTCGCCATTGTTATAAATAAATTGTCTCACTTATCAGATCGTGTGTGCAATTCTTGTTGGCGGCGGAAAGTACGAAATTTATTTCAGTTATTTCATTTGGTGAGAACTCTACAAAAGAAGACAGCGTTCAGAGTCCAGATCGTTTCGTTTCAAACGGCAATTTAATACCGTCTTCTC